CTGTAGTTGGAATAACATTCTGGATCTATTCGAGGTCATTCGGTTTTCTTTTKTCCGTACCAACGTACAAATACTCAATACTAACTAAATAGTTATTCATTGCACAATCAAATGAAAATGATTCTAATTGGGTATGTCTCACATCTATYTATCATCAATAAATTCACTAAAACAAACGAATTAAAATTAAAAAAATAGTCCAATTTCCAAGCTAACCTTAACGGTAAGGGGCGTCCATGTTTGTTGTACGATTCCGGCAATGGGTGTTACCCGCCTGTCAATCAAATACTTGTCAACCAAGTCATCATAAGATAATGAATCATCATCCATCGCTTGAATCGATGCTAGGAGCTTTCCCTAAAAASATGAAWTAGTCGTAATCCGGTAAAGAAGTTAACCTCGYCGAAACGAATATTTAGCAGAAACTTTGTCAAAATAGGCACGGCTCAATAGATCTTAATTTTTTTAAACCCAAACACTCTGAAATATAATCGAAGAAATTAAATAGAATTCATGAAAAAATCTAGTAGGTACCATCCATAGAGATTTCTATGATAACTTGTTTGATTATATTCTCGCGCGCTGATTGGTCAAAAGCTATCGTCAATGAGAGTTTAGGCAATGGAATCATGTGCGCTTTCTCGGGAGGCATTTTTGATACTCTTTTCCTGAAAACATTTTTAGCAAAAAAAACCTGGATTTTTTTCATATTTAACATAACTGATATAGATTTGAGGCTATTCCTGGGCTGGAATTTTAAGAATGGTGAAATTCAATAAAAAATGTAAATCTCAATAAAATGCATTGAAACTCACACAGTGTGTTGTGTTTAAGTTTCAACTCCTTTGCAAGTTTGTGTCTAATAGGCATAATATGCGCMAGTTCTTTTTTTTTAATTTTGGATGATCAAATATGCTGATTATGGGTTCGATTGCACTGGAACTAGTGATGAAAACAGACTCAATCATACAGAGAGTACTATGACAAAATTTACCTTCCAAGAGGAAAGTTTCGTTACCAGTGGATTGCTAATTGAGTTCCCAAGAGCTCCAACRCCTTTCGTGAACACTATGTCATTGGTATTATCCCACTGTTTTGTTTTAGCGTCAARAATACATTTATTATTGCTGGCATCTTTTACACATATCTTGAAATAGTAGTCACATCGCGTGCACGACGGATCACAGCAGTCTCCATTCAAGTCGCGATTGTTGGGGTTTTTGAAGCTAATGAATTCCAGAGATATTCTGACTCCAGGTTTTGTTTGGTTTGTATGCTATAGAAAATAACATACAGAAAATGGTTATTAATCAACTAAGGTTAACTCAAAGAATTGTCTCCAGAATGCAGTCGTCGTCCTGTAACTAACAGCCAAGATCATAGTCTACTGAATATAGYKGAGCTCCCGCGCGTACGCACGTTTCCTTCCGTACTCCTTCCTTCCGTCCGTGTACCACCACGGGAAACGGGTGTCTGTAAAACATGGAACACCGCCGGAACACCGCCGGAACTCCCCGGAACACCAAAAAAAAAAAATAATAATGACAAATATAATAAAGTGGATTGTGAAATGAAAGAAAGAAAAAAACATGAATCAATGAATGAATCAATGAAACGTTCAATTTTAAAATTCTCCTTCTGACTTTCAAAGCTCTTCATGGCCTGGCTCCTATTATTTGAACGTTACAATATTGAATCGACATCTTTTTTTAGATTGCTACTATAAAGTTCTAAAAGTTTTTTTTGCCAAAACAAAACTAGCACTCATTTAGTATGTTAGTACATCGAAGACTTTGAACGGGAGCCGATCATATATCCACTTCGTAAAAAAAGACGGTTCTCGGGAAAGTGAAACACAAGAGATGACAATAATTATGCAAAAATAAATAAATAAAAAAAAGATAAACAATAAATTAAATAAAAAGGAAAAAACAAAATCATTAAACGTCTCCTCCAGGGAATCGATCCCGCTACCATCAAACCTACATTGGATTTGCAAGCGGCGCCTTAACGCGGTGAGCCACTGGATCACTCTCATTTACATAATAATAGACCACTTGACACTTTCACCGAATAGACTACCCCAATTTGACATTCTACTTTCGATAGTTGCNGAGGGGTATCCAGTCTACTACATTTGCATTGTGCACTGCATTAGGGAAGTATAGAAAGCAAAGGAACTCCAATTTTCCTCATGAATAACATGAGGGAAATATAGAAGACAAAGGATTCTTTTGTCTTTTACTAAATTTCCCTTGCATAAATTAAATAGAGGGAAATTTAGTAAAAGACAAAATAATCCTTTATCTTCGGGATTGTAAACCACTCGGAAGACAATGGAATCCGAGGTGATCATGGTATTAAAATTCATAACTGCATTTATCAAGAGACTTAGTATTTCCTATTAATTTATCGATGTGCTGACAATTACTTAACCAATGAACATGAACAAGGTACTAGGGATATCGAATAAAAGAATTCAATTCAGTGACGTTAATGTTAATTTATCCACGTTGAAGTTTTTGAGTCTTCGATTAAAAGTTAATGAGGTTAATTTACGCCACAATGGCCAACTTTCGAAATATGGCTGACTGGCCGAGCGCAAAAGCCTTKAAGACGACGCTTAAACAACTAATCGCTATGCTTCTCCTGAGCTTGGTGTTCAATTCCTTCTGTGTGATAAGTCAATCAGAATAATAAAAGTGGGCTATCGAACCAATCTTTTTTAAAACACGAATATCTGTGTGTGTTCATCTAAACCTTATCAGCCTTATAGACCAAGTACTTCTGACCAAGCGCCTTCTTGATAAGGTCCTTATGGCTTTGAATGTAAGAAGGACATAAGCAAAAGTGCGGCCTAAAATAGGGCTCTTTCTTTCTAATGCATATCTCGTTGCAGTGGAAATAAACATTAAACAATTTGGACTGCATATCTCCATTTGCGTTGGTGAATTCTCTGTTCTTTTACACGATGACTTGTGTCTTACGATAGCTCACTTTTATTATTCTGATGACCGGCAATCATTCATTTATTGATGTTCCTGTGTATTTCTTTCTTTCATTTCACAATTCACTTTCATTATTGGTTATTATTCTTTTTGGTGTTACGATATGTTCCGAGGGTGTTCCGGGGTGTTTCGGGGTGTTCCGGAGGTATTCCGGGTGTTCCGGCGGTGTTCCATGTTTTACAGACACCCACTGGAAACCCATACCCCGCGCGAAAAGGAAGAAAAGCGTCAAAATATTTGTTGAAACATCAAAACTTTTTCCTCAAACTTTTATCTTCCAAATTGATAATATGGTAAAAATCAATTACAAAACAAAAATCCACAGGAGAGCGAAATCAAAGCACAGAAATATTCCCGCCAATTTTGTCATCTTTTCAAGTTGGCCCTACTTTCAGTAATAAAAAAATAAAAAGCATTTCGACAACAAGAAAAAGATGATACTGTATTGGAAATACTGCAATAATATGGGGAAAAGCAAAGATATTTCTGAACTTCTTTTGTCCTCGAAAAGCAGTAAGATATTTTAAAACCAAGAACATGCCAGCAGCACTGGATTGAGAGAGACTAAAAACAGAATTACAGTTCTTAAMAATGACTTTATAAATTGATGAAACCTATGCCACAAGCAAGTATGGTTCTTTTCAAGATGAAAGCCATTGCATGCCTCACAGTTGGTTTCAGTTTTAAAGTTACCGACGATAAAAAACCACTAAGCTTATATATAGAATTTCCAGGTATTTCAGAGATCAACATTTATCAGAAGTTCAAAAATCAATGTAAAAAAATATGTAAGATATTTTTGTACAGTTTTCTGTGATGTGAAGTTCGAGTAGCAGGCGCGGATCCAGGACTTTGAAGTGGGGGGTGAATTGCTAAAATAATGTAATAAAATGGAAGCCAAACACCGAAGCCGGGAGCCCCTAGGGGGTTGGGGGGCATCCCCCCCGAGAAATTTTGAAATCCAGACTCTCGGACATGCGATTTGCAGCGTTTTGTGGGCCTTTTTAGTAACTCTTTATTGAACAAATTTAAGCGGAATTTAGTACGCAATGCTCACTTGAAGCAAA